AGCTACATGTGATTTAAGACCTTTTACAGCAGATCATTTCCTATATTACTGTAGCAGATCATATTCTGCAGATATGAAGCATCAGAGATAATCGTCTTGTTTTTTTCCCCCGTTTCTTTTTTTTTTTTTTTTTGCAAAATGACTAATGCAAGATTTTTAAAGAAACTCTAAAAAACAACATCTACTAGAACTATAGTAACGCAACTCTTTGATTATTTGTTGATTGTGTTTAATTTTACATATGTTTCCTGGTAATTTTGTACATTGCTTGAGATTTGTAAATAGTATGATATACCATACACTGATTAAGCACAACATAAAAAGAACTGGCAGAGTGAATAACATTGATTATATCGTTACAATGGCAGCTGCCAAGGTGGGGAATAGTTTAGGCAGCAAATGAACAGTCAGTTCTTGAATTTCATGTGTTGGAAGCAGGAAAAATTGGCAAAAAGATCTTGGTGACTTTTACAAGGTCCAAATAATGATGGCATCTCCAAAACGGCAAGCCTTGTGGGTGTTCCCATTATGCAGTGGTTAATACCTACCAAAAGTGGTGCAAGGAAGGACAACTAGTGAACCGGTGTTAGTGTCATGGGCACCCAATATTTTTTAAAACACGTTTGGAGCGAAGGCTAGTCCATCTGGTCCAATCACACAGAAGAAAAGCTGCTGTCCATGATACAAAGGTGTCAGAACACATAGTGCATCACAGTTTTCTGTGTATGGGGCTGCTTAGCTGCAAACCAGTCAGAGTGCCCACCACTGAAAGCATCAGAATTGGACAATGGAGCAATGGAAGTAGGTTTCCTAGTCGGATGAATCACATTTTCTTTTCGTTCAGGTGGATGGCCAGATGCGTGATTTAACTGGGTAAAAGATGGCAGCAGCATGTATTATGAAAGAAGACAGGACTTTGGAGGCAGGTTATGCTCTGGACAATGCTGGGAAATCTTGAACTCTAAAATTCATTGGATGTTACTATGACACATACTACCTACCTAAAGATTGCAGATCACATACACCTCTACATAGCGATGGTATGATGGCAGTGGCCTCAGGATACTGCACCCTACCACACTGTTCAAATTGTTCAGGAATGGTTTTGAGGAACAAGAGTATGACTTCAAGGTGTTGCCTTGGCCTTCAAATTCCTCAGCTCTTAATCCAATTGAGCATCTGTGGGATTTGCTTGAACAACAAGTCTTATCCATGGAGGCCCCAACTTGCAGGACTTAAAGGATCTGCTGCTAATGTCTTGGTGGCAAATACTACAGTATACGTTCAGAGGCAGGCCCAAACTGGCCATTGGGCAAACCAGGAAAAGCCCGGTGGGCTACAATGGCCAAGGGCCGAAACTGACCAGGGAGATCAAAAGATTTTCCCGGCTGGCCAATGCAGGGCCTATGCTCATTGAGTGCAGCCCAAAGAAGTAAAAAAGTCCCTGTATGGACCAAAGGGGGAATCATAGATTTACCTCACCGTCCCATTAAACAGACAGGGAGTATCTAATTTCACCTCCAGCTAGGGGTCCAAGTGAAATATTCCGACAAGCTCCGGTTACTTTATTATATGTTTTGTAATGGTTTCAGTGTATAGGGGGCCTAATTTGGATATAGCAGCTACTGTGTTTATATTTATTTACAGATGTTTGCCTCTGAAAAATGTACACTTGGTAGGTATGTACAACCTTACAAAGCTAGTCTGTGCATATGTTAGATGTGCAAAGGATAATTCATAGGAGGATATGCGTGTACGTAAAACCAGTAGAATAAATGTGCTTTTGTCCCAATGATTGCATTTATGGCTAATTTTCTGTCTTCAGTACAGTGTAAACAAATGAAATGTCATTATTTTTGTAACAATCCTGGCTCCTGTGAGCTGGAACAAGTTGGGGATTGAAACCTGGCTGACTATTTCTGAAGCTGTCAAATCTGGGCAAATAATTAGAGGAACAATCCATCGGGGAGATGAGTTCTGTGACATTCTGTTTAGAATTCTGTGTTCAGTGATCTAGAAGTAACTCCCATGGTGACCCAACAGCCAATTTATAACCTGACATGAAACAGCAGCAGTGTAGAACTGTCATTGCACTCCATCAAATAGTGCTGCAACCATGAAGTGATCTCGCAACGAGCATAATATACAGCTAGCAATATCATAGGAAAGATTGCTGTAACAGAACAGAAGAGCATATATCCATTGTTTGCAATGCTTCATAGTATTGTTACAATGTTTAATTTTATTTTCCGGTTCATTTATAATCATTAAGATTATCTCAGCTTTAAACTTTAAAGTTATCGTGCAATGAGTTATACTCTTTTAAAAAAGCATGTGAAATTTGTCATGTGCACATTGTTTTAGCAAAATTAAAAAATGTATGGTTCCTCCCAAACCAGGGGCTAACGGTAGGAACCCTTCGCAATAGTTCAAAGTCCTAGCAGAAGGTGTGGCAGGTTCACAGGATGGGAAGTAAATCTGTGACGTCTCCTAAAGCAAATACATTCATAGCATATCTTAATGAGCTGTTAAATTATTATTCTTAGTATTAATATTTATATAGCTGCAACATATTCCACATCACTTTACAAATATAGAATGGAAATGGGGGAGTATTGAGGATGAGGATGCCCGCTTCAGGAGCCCACCCCACCAACTCTGGAACCACTCAGGTCTTTATTTCCCTTTGACTGGCTAGTTTAGATGGTAGTTTTGTTTTTCATGTGGGAGTTCGTGTTGGGGAAAGTATTTTTTTTATTTTATTTTAAATTATTTGTACTCTGTCTTGAGTAAATTTATCCCACATCTCTTTTGCATTTGCTAACACAGGTTTGAGGTGAATGACCCACATTTGAAAACATTTTAAAACATTTTATAAATGTACATTGAAAATGATGCTGTTCCAGGTGAGGGAGTGGCATATCACTTTCATTTCCTGTATGTCTGACCTCCTTTCTGGAAAACAGTGTAGAAACGTGGAGATATCTTGATTGGCAAGCATACATATTTATTGGGAATGCCAAAATTTTACATCTAAGCTTCTGTAATAAAAAAATAAAAACAGTTTGTAAAAGAAGATGGTTACTTCTATGGAAATTAATTAACCACTGTCTGTGTTTTTATCTTTAGCCTAAACGGGAAAGCAAAAGAATGTCCAAGAAAGAAGTCACAATCAATGTAACAAAAAATATAAAATCAATGGATAGCGACGGACGAATAACAGAGAGCTGCGTCAATTAATAAGGAATGGGATAAGCTCATAAGGACATCATTGAAAAAACAAAACATTTGTGCACTTTAATTAAAGAGTTGGTTGCCACAGAGAAATATAAATCATTGAAAGGTTTATTCTCATAACATTTTGTAGGAATTTTGATTGCACTCGAAGGAAATGGCAGTCAAAGTAGGGAAAAACACAGAAGGGAAATTATAAGTGAAAACATAAATCTCTTTGCTGCGGAGTGCCTTGACAGACATTGTCTTACATGAAGCAAATGGTTGTGCATGTGAGGAGACGCGTTCCGCAAACTATGAAAGATTAGCCTAAAACCGAGATTTTTCGTTTTGGTGTTGAAAATCTCTATCACTGAACTATTTTTAAAAGGCGGCCATTTTGAGTGCTCTTGTTTGAGATTTATAAAATGTGGGCTATTGAACAAACATGATGTGTAATTTTGCTAGGAGAGGCAATTCTCATTGTACCCATTGTACAGCGCTAGGGAATTTGCTGGCTCTATATAAATAATAATAATAATAATTGTTCTAATCTAGCCATCTGTTAGACAAGCCATCTGTTAGAAGAACGTTCATTGTTATGTCCTCTAGGGTGAGCGGTCTGATACCGAAACTGTTAAATACAGGCTAGGGATAACACTCTATGATAGTTTTCTTACAAGGGCACTCTAAACAACAAAACCAACATATATTGCTGTAGTGGTCGCTTGCTTAGAGTGTCCTCTTGTCATCTCACAATTTAAAGCGGATCTGTTAAAATATGCAAAGACCCCTGAAAGTGACATCTCTGGTTATGGTCTGATGGCTGTGGAGTGCAGTGAAAGGTAATTTTGCTTACCTGAAGCTGTCCTGCACAGTTGCTGCCATCTTCATCCTGAGGTCGATCTTAAGCTGCTTTCCGATTCTGCCAAAAGCCACATCAGAGAGTACAATACTAAGTTCTATGGAGGATCACGTGAGCCTCCATAGATCACGCCTTGTGATGAGAAAGACAATGCCTGAACCTCACAGCCATCCCTTGTGATGGCTGCTAGGATAAGGCAAACGTTGAAAGCAGAGCTCCCCCTTTTGTCAACTTTTGCCAACTGCATGTTTTACCAAAATACAAAGTAACCCCTATTTTATATTATGAAATCTTTAGATTACTTTGGAATTTAAATCAAGGTCAAATGCCATCAGCATTAGCAAAAATTATCTCTTTATGAAATAAATACACAAAAAGTGACAGAACCGCTTTAGTGACATCTAGCGTGTAGTGGTCAACTGGTTATTTTCTTTAAAGTATCCCTTTTTTTACAGGTTAAATAGGGCATGACTTTCATATCATTATTTTAATCATGCTCATTAAAAAAAAAAAAAAAGCTTAATTCAGGGCTGTATTGTAAATGTAGACTTATTTAGTTAAAATCTAAAATGTTATATTTAAGAATGTTGTACAAAAACAAAAAGTAAAATAACTGACACTCTCTAAAAGTTGTAACAAATGTAAAAAAAAAATCATAAAATATACTAGTTAAACATATCACAATCTATGTGTGAAAATAAGATTAAACAGGGCATTTATTGGAGAACCAGAAGAGAACTTAAGGATGCAAAAAAACTAAAAACATTTAAACTCTGTACGTGCCTCATATTTATACTCTCTTTGTTCCCTAAAGTACCAAAGCATCCATATTTATTTAAAGTACACTATATATATATATATATATATATATATATATATATATATATATTGGTTTTTTTAAACTGTTTTTTTGTTGTTGCATATTTGGCTTTCTGGATAGATTTACCATGCTGCATAGCTCACATTTGTTCCAAGAAAGCTGCTATCTTCAGTCAGGACCATTAATCCGACCAAAGATCGCTCTGGTAGCTCAGTCATCGAGCCATGATATTAAGTGCAATGTACTTCACTAAAAGCGGACTCAGACCACAGTGCTTCAAAAGCCCTTAATGATATGAAAGTATCTCACAATAGCGATAACCATCTGACTTGTTTGAGGAGGAAAAAAAGATGATTAAATGGTGAGCAGCAGTGAATTGAAAACTGAAGTGCACATTTAAGGCCATTGTCTAAAGGGCATTGTCTAAAGCAAAATCTCTAATTGTGCTATTTTTTCATATTACCTATGTTGGCCTAAAATTTGCCGTTTTGTATCTCTCTGCAATTCCATTTCAAACTCTTATTTTCCTTTAATATTATTTTCTGTTTAACAAAACCAATCTATTGTGTAAATGAGAACTGTACAGAATCTTTTTGACTATATATGTAGCAATACTTTTTAAAAGTAACAGACGCAAGCACAAACACAATGGGCTTATACATTATACTGAATTGATGCCGTCTGTTATTGTAAGGGTTGGCTCCTTATTAAATGTTCTTAGTGATAAAACTTTATTTAAAACGTAAAGCTCGACCATGTGATCAAAAAGGTCACTACTCTGGACCAAGCTGTAACATGGTAGGAGTTAGGTTTCATGCAAAGATATTCTATAGTGTGTTGGGATAACTGTACAGAAGCCCAGAGAGGTCATGTATTTTTAAAAACTTTCTGACTTGTTATCTGGAGAAAACAAATTGTTCTCAAGATAACTTGTTTTCTTGAGAACTTTTTTTTCACAAGAAAACAAATTGTTTTCTTTAGATAACAAGTCAGAATACTATTAAAAATACATGGCCTCTCTGGGATATAACTGTGATCTGCAAGACTGATGTTAACCTGCCTGGCTTTACTTTGTTGAAGCAAGGGGTGTGCCCTAATGTAACAATTGACAGTGGTAGTTTGTCACAAGAATGTTGTGTTTTTTTTTCCCATATAGAGTTATTTACAAGTTGCTAGAATATCAAAGTGAATTTAAAGTAAATTTAAAAATTTAGGCCAAAATTTTCCAATTTGAAAAATTCTTCAGATCAATTCTGAACTCAGATTGGCTAATACAGCTTTAAATTTAAAATCCACTTTGAATTTACTTCACGTTGCTGGAAATTCTCACTTCAGTGAATAGGTCTTAAGTACCATTATACTTAGAGTATGTTTTTTTAAATTTATTTATTTTTATTTATTTTTTTATTTGGAATACTGGTTATGTCATCCTGGTGTACAACCCATTTTTTGTTCTTCAATTTCACCTTTAAACACATATTCTGCTATGAAATGTCCTGACCACATAGCAACATACCAACTAAATAGTCATAATATTTAATTTAGATAAGGGCACTATATAAAAATCTTTTTTTGAAAAATCTGGCCTGCATCAATCTAGCATGCCATGAGGACAAGGAATGTAACTGATATTTTAGAAATAAACCTCTACAGGACCAGTGCCATGGTTTGGCATCATTTCTAACTGGTCCTTGGACATGTGATATTAGTGCGGAACCTGTTTATTTGACATTATCAACTACACATAGCTTTGTTTTGCTATAAGAATGAGCACGTGTATTATAATGTATATACCGCCAATATATTCTGCAGTGCTTTACACATATAGAATTATATATATTTAATTTGGGGATAAGATCAGATTGTTGTGAATTACTATAAATTACCTTTAAGGAGTTGAGTACACATGTACATAAGCACACACAGACGTCAATTTACTAAATACCGAATTGTAATGGATTTAAAACTGAATAGCAAAATGCAAGCTGTGATCGGCTAAATAGGAGAATTTTTCCAAATAAATACTTTACATTTTCCCTACATTTTGCAGTTCAAATTCCAATTCACTACAATTATTTTTCTTAGTTTACACATTTATATACAGGTTGTCATATTTGCAATATCATATACAGCACATTTTCCTTTTAAAGTGTAAAATTAGTGTCTGGGGTGTAATCCTACTCTTGTCAAACTGCATCCTTTACCAGAATTACATGAATCAGCAGACATTTAACAAATAGCAAGTAGGATTTGCATTTAAATGGATTAGCAAATTTGAATCTAGTGCGATTAATGTCACACTCCTCCTGAGCTTTTCTGGAAATAAGTGCTCCCAGAAGGGGATGCTAGAATATCAACTCAAATTGGCAGAACTAGAAATAAATATCAAGACTGTGTTGATGAATTAGGGACATTTGGGATGTATATGGTTAATTATAAATGGTTTTGATATTGGACTGTAGACTTTAGGGGGAACTTCTTTTTATCATTTGCTCTGTAAATAACAGCTTGAAGTAAATTGTAAGTATATGATTAGTTTAGCCCTTAAGGAGACAGCTTCAGAAGTAAAATGCCAACACGGAACATTTCCATCATGTGTCCCTAGGGGGTAAAAAGCAAAGTTGCCTTAGGTAATCTGTGGACATCAGACTGCAGTAAATTTCAATCCGAGAATTACTAAAATCTAAGATAGGTTACCCGTTTGCCCCTCTCTGCCCCACTTCATTTTTCATTTCGGAATGGTTAATGGTATAGATTGTTAATAAAGAATCTTGATTTTAAATACTATGTAACAACCCCAGTTATTGGTATGATTCTACAAAAACAGGCAACTTCTACTGCAGGGGGCAACTTCCATAGTGAGTCAGGTATTACCTATACTAGCAAATAATAGCATGTTTTGTAATATATGATAACAACTGCAGAATCTGTTGACGCTATATAAATGGCAATAATAATAATAATGTACCTTGTCTATGCCATTATTTTGATCATTAAAGTATAACACCTTCAATACATTGCATTAAAAATAGCTGCTGAGAGTAACTGTTCGGGAATATTTGAAAGAGAGAGGCATAGAGAGATATTTTTAACTCTTTCAGGTACAAGGATAACTTTAGTACTGTAACATTCTATTTATCCTAAGTTTAAAAGCAAAATGTTTATACTTTATGATTTAACAATATATAAGGAGACATGTATTTGTAGCTTAAAACTCCTGCAAGTATCTGTATATGTTTCAGTGACGTGACCATTGCATGCAATAAATCCCATCTCCATATTGCTAAATGCTAAGCCAAAACATTCAGCGTAAAGGTAGCAATGGCGGCAGCCACTTCCTGGCGTTCTATTCACTAAGTAGTGAATGTTGCGAATTGAGAAACCAACTTGTAGAATTTAAAACAATGAAGGCCATTTTTTGGGATAGGGCTAAATTTCAGTAATTGACTGTCAACTCACCACTGCTCACTCAGGTTTATTTCCTAAATAAACAATATATAGGCCACAAAAAACAATTTACCTGCTTTTTTTCTACCCTGGGTTATTTTGGCCTAAATGTTCTGAATTGGGTCTCAGTTTACGATAACTCACTGATTAAACCCAGTGTAGTGTTATAGTCCCTGCTGCAAATGAAGATGAAATATGATTGTATATTTTGACGATCTTTCAACTCTGTTATATTCAAAACAAAATAAAAGCCTGATATACAAGAAATATGATTGTAATGTTCTTGACGGTCTTTGGCAGGGGTAGGCAAAATTCGGCACTCAAGATGTTATGGACTCAATCACCTTCAAAGCTTTTCCAGCATTATGGCAGATGTAGTCAACGTCATCTGGAATGCCGAAGGTTGCGTACCCCTGGTCTATGGGTAATATTGACTTAGCTATGTCAGTACAATTCTGGATTACACTTCCCAAGATGCCCAGTTATGGAGCCAATGTTACAAAGAAAATTGAATTTTTACAATTATTAACAAAAATTTCAACCTTCAGAAATTCAAAATGAATTTCAATTTTTTTAATAGCCTTGGTGAAAACATAGATGACTGGGATATTTTTTTCCTCTTCGGAAATGTTGGCTTATAAATGTAAATTTCACTTTAACAGTTTACATTTTGGTGAATAAGCCTGTGGTTGTCTTGGTCTGTTTACTAGTTATTTATACAATAAATAGATGATGGCAGTGAATTCAAGCACAGGAAGGCCGTATCACTGTGACAAGTTTGCAAGTTAATGACACTAGCTGGTTTTAATCCATTGCACATACATTTCACACAGTGCGTGTAACGTGTGACGTGTATGTGTAGAGTGTGGAATCACAGAGGAATTTAGGATGTAATGATGGCAGGAATGTATTATGTTTTCTGTGAGTATATAGCAGTTACATTTGACAACAGTCAGTAGCAAGACAAATGTCCACACTGTGTAAAAATAGTAATGGGACATTAACGACATCATGCACAAAATGTGTGCGTGAAAAAGTCAGCTTTAGCTAAGTAACATTCTATTAACAGAAAACGGACATCATTTATTTTAATTGCTTAAAATCAAGCATAGAATGTTTTTAGTTCCTGTTTATTGTATAATTTTGTAATGTATACATATGAGTAAATTAACTCTTTTTCAGTAGTAATTAAAAGTGGTGACCATTTCCCTGTATTTGAGTAATATTCTCACCCATACCTCCTAACATTTCTAATGTACAGGGGCACTTTAATATTAGGGGGGGAGGGAAGTTAATAGGGGTGGGCTGCTCTGAGAAAATGTAGGTTACTTATAACAATGTATGCAACTACAATGATTTTTATTTAAAAAAGACTGATTTCTAAACACATTTATTGTAATTCAAGGACACACATGCTAAGGAGCTCTGTTATACCGACTCAGACACACCAAGAATATAATGCTCCTAGAAAAGAGGGACATTAGGATAGAAAAGAGGGACAGATGGATTTGAGCTCAAAATAAGGACTGTCCCTTCTAAACAGGGACACATGGAAGGTATGTACTCACCTGTAATTTGGAGTGGGTCAGTGCAGACAAAAAGATCCACATACGGTAACTATATATTGTGGCAGCGAAATCTGGAGACACAGTAAATCTTAAATGTTATGTTTACCTGAATTCTGAACCTGGGCCTCTCTTGTGTGTTTTGCACACAATAATTACCATAGTTGTCCCCTAGATAACTCTCAATAGTCCCAGTTTAAAATCTAGTCGTGTACCACAACCCTGTCTTCTTAAATTATGAAACTAGAGAATGACATCCAAATGCACTGCACAAGGGTGTCCTTCTACACGATAATTGCCAATCATTTCCCACCATCTGAGAGATCTTTAATGTGCACATATGATGGGGTGACACATCCCTTTTTTTGTTATACCTTACATTGTCCATTGATGGCATGGCTTCTTTCTTGCTATACGCTCTAGTCCCACTTTCAGTCATCGGATTGTTGGCAGATACTCACACACACACACATTAAAAGTACTAAAATAACATTTCATCTATACATGTGCTAGCAACCTTACAAGCAAACTGCATGGGTCAAATTGTATACTCTGTATTGTCATATTTGCAAGACAGATGTTCTTTATTGATATCGATTCCCAAATAAAGATATTGATCCAGTCAACGTGGTGAGATCATGCCTGCAATAAAGAAAGACTAGTCTTTGTTGATTCTCTCAGCATACTAATGTAATTCTTTTGATACCAATGTGTTAACCACTGTCATTTTGTTTAACTTCTTGTTTTGGTTCTGGGGACCACAGCTTGCTGCATTGTATCCATTTTTACAATCCCCTCTGGTACCAAAGGGGTTAAACAACTATTTTTGAAGGGCTAATAAATATGATTATTTTTTTTTTTTCCATTATATTATTTTCCTTACCTCGTATGACATTCCTCCTATTCATGGTCTTGTCTTTCGCTATGTTTATACTTTTCACATGTTCATGGCCTGTAAACTCGGACTAATGAATGCCCTTTTGGTAATTTAACAGGGCTGCTATATAAATAAATGAAATTATGATGTGGGCTGTATCTCTAAAAGTTGCAATCATTCATATATAATGCTTTTGTTTTCTTCCAATAAATATTCTTGTACTCTGCAAAGCTGTAGTCTTCTTAATTTGTTCGATATAAAGAAATAATAAAAAAAAAACACACACATATTTGCTTCCAGTATTTGAATAGTATTTGACACTTATGCCAAATTGTCACTGTATTACGCCACTTTTAAAATGTGGGTTTCACTAAAAAAGGTAGGTACTCAGAGTTGAGTCCATTCATGTATTATCTGTGGTCACAACAGTACAATGCTGTGTTGGGACTATTATTTGTTCGGAATGGGGAACTAGTTAAATGCCTTTTATATTTTCCTTATAGGACTGATGACGTCAGAATTTCACAATAGGATCGCCTATGCCTGGAATTAAACAGTTAATAAATAATATATAATTGCTGTGAATGTTAAAATTTTTTATAAAAACTAAAATAATATTTTACTATAACACTTCAATTGATATTGTCTTTACTTCATTTTCCAATTATAGTAAGGCAAGGTTCTTGTCTTTTAACAAGTCACAGTAAAGAGATTCCTTTAATATGTGTCTGTTTTCGTTAGAACACTAACTAAATTGTGTAATCATACACGCAGTTCTATAGCATTTTTAGACTTTGCCTAAAAATATCTTGCTCGTCATGGAACTTTAGTAATTCTTCAAAGAGTAAACACTTTTTAAAGACGAAATGGAATTATAAATGTAGAACATTTTGCACAAAACAGTTTGATCTTAGTTAGAATGAGTCAGCCTGTGGGGGTAACATGCTATTTTTAATTTTAATTTTCTTTCTGGTTTGTGTAGATACAATGTACTATAGACGTTTGTGTGAAACCGGAACTGATTTAAAGAGTAAACATTAAATATGCTTGGAGCATATATTATGAATTTGTTAAAGGGCATTTTTATAATGCAAATGGTTTACGTAAAACTACCCACTCTGATATAGGTTACATTTTTTATTTTTTTATTTTTTTATTTTTGCTTTCTATATTCAATGTTTATAAGAACACTCCAAGCACCATAACCACTGAGGCACAAAGTAGTGGTTGTAATGGCAGAAGTGCCCAGGCACTCTCTCAATGTACTTAATCAAACCATTTTCTAACCCTGATTCTTGCTCCTTATTTTCCAGTCTTAGAATCAGAAGCTCCTGTAAGAAGCTTCAGTTAGCTCACTGGCTGAGAATATCAGTTTATTGCTAAGACTTTAACTGCTCGTCTTAAATCAGGCAGCATGTTTTTGGCTCTCTGAGTGGCAGGTAGCAGTGTCAGGAGTCCCGTGGTAAGAAATCAAGCTATTAGCACAACGTTTGACTATTTTATATTGTTTGGGCATGCTATAGTGGTTATGGTGTTTAGAGGTGTTCTTTTAAGTCACGAATAATGACAAAGATGTATATAATTTTGAGGGAGACAAATATATGTTGCAGCTTTTATCAGTAACAAGGGATACATGTTGCAACTTAAAACTACTAACTAAAGAAATCGATTTTTGATTTATTTCAAAGCATCTTAAAAAAATCTGGAACTGAAAGGGTTAAGTTGCATAGTAGCTGGGGATAGGACATTAAGGAGCTCTAAAGGGACATATTCGTCACACAATATTTGGTTTGCTGATCCTATTTAAAAGTAACTGGTGCATTATTATTTTGTAAATCAAAATGCACTATTTTAAAGTCTTTTAGGTGGTCACAGATTTGACAATATAAAAGACACTACAAGTTATGAAGACAGGTTATGTAGCAAATACATTAATGTTGAGGTTACTGATGAGACACATATATGAGACATATGGAGGTGTTGGGGGAGAAATGAGACACATATCGAGGCTGAGGGAAAGAATAAGATACATGGAGGGGCTGGGGGAGAGAATGAGACATATAGAGGAGCTGGGGGGATGAGACACATGGAGGAGTTGGGGAGTAAGATACATGGAGGGGTGGAGGGAAAATGAGACACAGGGATGGGTGGGGAGAATGAGACACATGGAGGAGTAGGGGATGAGGCACATGGAGGAGCTGGGGGTGAGTGAGACACATGGATGGGTGAGAAGATGAGACACATGCAGGGGCTGTAGGGATGAGACACATGGAGGGGTGGGGGAAATGAGACACAGAAGGGGGGAATGAGACAGATGGATGGATGGCGGTGAATGAGACACAAAGATGGGTGGGGGTTTGAGACACATGGGGGTGGGGAATGAGGCACATGGTGGGAGGAATGAGACACATGGAGGGTTAGGGAGGGATTAGACACATTGAGGGGCTGGGGGAATAAAACACAAAGGGTCTGGAGGGGAATGAGACACATGGAGGGGTGGGGGGGAATGAGACACATGGCGGGTTAGGGAGGGATTAGACACATTGAGGAGCTGGGGGAATAAAACACATAGATGGTCTGTAGGGGAATGAGACACATGGAGGGGTGGGGGGAATTAGACACATGGAGGGGTGGGGGGAAACGAGACACATGGAGGAGCTGGAGGTGATTGAGACATATGGAGGGGTGGGAAGATGAGACACATAGAGGGGCTGGGGGGGAATGAGACACATGGAGTTGTGGAATTTGTAGGGAATTATCGCCCCATATCTTTATTAAATTCTGATATAAAAATTTATGCAAGTATTTTGGCAAATAGATTACAAAGAGTCCTCTCGTCCATAATTCATGGGGATCAGGTTGGTTTTATGAAGGACAGACAATCAAATAATAGTATAAGAACAATGATTGATATTCTGGATTACCCTCATGAATCGGGTACTCCATTGCTGGCCCTGTCATTGGACGCGGAGAAGGCCTTTGACAGGGTCAGATGGGACTTCCTTATGGAGGCCCTAAAAGCTTTTGGCTTTGAAGGCTGGATTCTGAGTGCTATTATGGCCTTGTATAGTTCCCCAATGGCTAGAACAATTGGGAGGGGCATAATCTCTGAGTGGTTTAATATAAGGAACGGGACAAGACAGGGTTGTCCCTTGTCCCCATTGCTATACTTGCTATATATAGAACCCCTGATTTGTGACATTAGACATAATGAGAAAATTAAGGGAATTACAATAGGTCAAGAGGAATATAAAACGTTACTTTATGCAGACGATGTTTTAATCACTATATCAGACCCTATAATATCAATAGATGAACTGCTAAGGGTGGTTCATGAATTTGGGCAGTATTCCAATGTTAAGTTAAATGTAGACAAGACAAATATTCTCGCTAAAAATATAAATAAGGAGGAGAAATTACATATTAGAGCGAAATATAGTTTTGAGTGGGTTAAAAATTTTATTGTTTATTTGGGTATAAAGATTTCTAGTAATCCTGCCAGGATTCTAGAATATAATGTTATGCCTTTAATGATGCAAATTAATAAACAACTGAAAGATATGAGAACAGCAGAGATATCATGGACAGGTAGAATCAATGTTGTAAAGGCTTACTTGATCCCCAAATGGAGCTATGTATTCCGTATGTTACCATTGAAAATGCCTAAACCATGGCTCATGATGATTCAATCAGCCTTAGACAAATATATATGGTTGGGGAAAAAACCTAGGGTTAGCAAAAAAAATTTGAACCTAAAGCCTAAATTAGGAGGGATGGGAGTTCTCAACATTACAGATATATATGAATCTTGCTCATTGGCACATATTATATCTTCTATGAAAGAGAGCTCTAGGGGAGAATCATGGGCAAAGATTGAGGCTAAAAAAGTGGAAGTTCCGGATTTAATGGCTCTATTTTGGAATATACACAAGGGTGAGAGAGATGATATGGGTCTAATTCTAGATAATTTATTGGCCCAATGGAGAATCTGGAAAAAAAGATAAAATCATCATTGATCTACCCATGTATGTATTGTCTATTAACATTGAGGATCTCAATCTTGAACCATGGTTAGATAAAGGCATTAATAGAATAAATCAGTTATTCCAACAAAAACAGATTAGACCTTTTGAAGAGATCAAACAAGCCTTCTCCCTTTCTTATAGAGAAAGTTTTACGTACTTAAGGATAAAACATTTCTTAATGAGATACAGAATAGTGGAGATTTCTGGGGGCGGGGCCGGGCCGCCAAGCAGCATGGCAGCAAAGTAACATGGCTCCGGGACAGAATCCTGAAAAATGCCACACAACTCGCATACAATCTGCCCCAAAGCAGAAAAACATACAGAAGTGATACGGGGCACCACCCAAGCTACCATACCATACTAAACTGCAGATACAACCGCATCAGGAACACCGAAATGGACGAACCCGGCCTACACACCAGCTTGAGCCTAAACAGGGGCAACCGCAGGCTGGGAACTGCCAGGACCGGAGGAACCACAGGCCGAGGGGACCTCTACAGGAAACTACTCGGCGAGAGCTGCGGCCCCGCTCCGCCCCCTCCCCCGGCCGGTGGGGGTAATCCTGGCCACATGGAGGCCGCACAACCCGGGCGGGACGCCACCGCCGGGGGAGCGCGCGGCCCTCCAGTACAGGCACAGGCTGCCTAATCGTGGCCCGCCTGATAACAACACCTGAAATCAAGGGACGCTTCATACCCAACTACTTATTTCAGGTCAGACTGCTGGCATTACCTTGAGAAGCAGCCCCGTGGATGTGACACCCACAGGCGGAGATGGGCACTAGGGGTGATGCACGTGGGCGGAGGAGGCCAGGCGGGACGCGGCCGCGACATCCTTGGGACCCGCTGGCTGGATGCAGCGACCCTGGGATTATGCCTGGCTGAGAGCGGATCGCCGTCACCTCTGGGTTTTGTGGAGGGCCAGGAGGTGGCTGTCCCCGACACTGTGTGCCCTTGTGGAGTGGAGCGCGGCGGCCCCCGGCGGACCGGTGGCTGAGGGGAAGTCGGCGCCTGCCCTAAGAGGCCGGAGAAGGGTGAGACACAAGACGGCCTTCGCCTCATCCGGCTGGGGCTCCAGAGGCGCGGTGGGGGTGCAGGGGATGACTGGCGCACGGACTCTAGGTGGGGGGGTCTTGTGGGCTAGTGGGTCCCCGGGTGCCCGCTGCGCTGAAGATCCCCTGGTCGGAAGCCCGGCGTGACCTGGGGGGACGCGGCGAAAGGCCGGCGCCCCGGGGACTGTCTGCGGATGTGTCTGCAGTCGGCTCCCTCTGCTCGGAGTGTGTTGTACCTGCAGCCCGCCCGCTGTTGGGGGACTAAGATGAAAACGCTGCTCATGACAGGGGACTCAGCTACACAGCAGAAACATACGAGACTAACCATATAAGCTGACTGCCATGCTTGTCTGAAAGTTTCAGAAGTTCTATAATAATACTCTGCTATACAAGCTGAATACTTAGGGATTCTGGCTCATGTTATTAGATAATTAGGATGTTTTAATATGAATAAGTTTATGGGTTCTTGCTTTGCGCTGCCACCAGAGGCGCTTGTTCCCTGATGTTCTTAATACACTTGATCCAGGACTTGCTTACTTAGCAATTAGCTAGACACTGCTAAACTGTTACAGATATGTTGTAATGTTGACGACATTTTTTCCACTATCAATACACTTGAATCCTGACATGCGTATTTTGCTATTAGCTAGACACTACGGGGCCGTTACAGATAGGATGTATCATTGCCTCACGGTGCCTGACTAATATACCATTTCCACCATATATGTTCACCGCACCATACTTATTGGCGGTTATTTAAGCTTAACGAAGCCCTTTACGCTGAACAAGCACTGAGCTCAGCATCAGCATCTGCCCGCCCCAACATTCCCTCATCAGTTGATCCCAAACAAGTTAAGCATTATCGAATAAGGCTCACAGCTACGTGCATACTAATGTTTAATAGTTAAAGGCCAAGTTTTAAACACAGCGGTAGCATACGGCTAGAGCGCTAACCAGATAGTTGAAAAAGTTTTTATACTGCTTAATGTCGGACTCCAATTAGCCAGCTGATTCACTTGCCTCTGCACAGGCAAGAATTTGCACTTACCAACTAGCAAACACGTAGCTCTGGCACACGCCAGTTAACTTAAAACAATTTAATTAATGCTATAACCGAACTAAAAAGGTAACACAGTACAACACAAAGCAATCCACTGTGCACGAAAAACACAAGCTAGGACAAATCCGCATCTACGCAGATATCCAAATGTATATGCAGTGTTAAACCAATGCTTAAGCCCCTGCGTGGGCAATCACTTGCTTTATCACAAATCAATTTGATGTATGACTTTATATTATGAGAAGGAAAACAAGAATTTTTTTTTATTTTATTTTTTGTTTAAAAACATGTTAAGCTAAACAGGCTAAGATGGAACTGCCTCTGCGCAGGCAACCAAAAGTATATACTGTGTTGAACCAATGCTTAAGCCCCTGCGTGGGCAATCACTTGCTTTATAACAAATCAGTTTGACGTATGAACCTATGTCATGCATACAATAAAAATATTCAAAACAGAATAGTGGAGATTTCTGAGGAATTACAAATTTTTATAAATTTATTAAATATCAAATATAGTAAACATTTTGTCTCTAAATGTTCCACAATCTGTAGCAAATTTAAGTCATCCCCTGAATTTCCAGCTTTAAAAGCCTGGGAAAAAGATTTACAAATCAGTATTATGAGAAACGAATGGCTTAAGGCCAATAATGCAGTAATGAAAGCTTCACATTGTTTAAATCTATCGGAAAGTCACTATAAGGTTATCAATAGATGGCACTATGTTCCAGCTAAATTAGCAAAAATATATCCAGGAAGCCAATATCATTGTTGGCATTGCGCTTCCCTTAGAAGCCACTCTTGCAAGATTTTGGAAAACTACAGATTCTCCGTCTTGGGAGATGATAAAACATCAGGTCTTGAATAATTGTAAAATGGAAATAGGGATACTGAGACAAGACAACTATTACAATCCACGAATTGAACAATGGCAGAAATGGATTGTAAAATTAGGAAGAAGAAATGAGACTTAACATACATTAAGGTTTATACGTTCGGGAATTGTAGAAAGGGTAGTGGAACCTGTGCATAAATTTCTAAATAAGCCATAGTTTTACGGAGCCTGATTGGTAGAAAGAATGATTGTTAAAAGTTCTGTTTTTAGGTTCCTATGAGTAATATGCGACTAACTCTCAGCAAAGGGCAGTTTTTTTTTTTTTGGTTTTTTTTTTTGTAGGAAACTTCATTAAAAGTATAAATTCATAGGGTTGGGACTTGATAGACAAAAGAAGAGGGGAAGGGAGAGAGGGAGGGAGGGAAAAGGAGGGAAAAAAAGGAAAAAGTCTCTTAGGAATTATTATATATATTGAAAATCCCCCTCCTTTTTTGTATTGAAAGTGATCGATTTGTAATGTTCTTACACATACCTCATGTTGTTTTCCTTTTAATGTTTAATGTCTAGTGTTTAATGTCTAATTGTTTTTTTTTTGTAATAATGTATGTGAACACCTTTTTCTTTAAAAAGAAAAAAAAGAGAAAAGAATATATAACAAAAGAAAAAAGGAAAAAAATAAGAAAAACTTTTTCAATAAAGATTAAATATATATAAAAAAAACACATAGATGGTCTGTAGGGGAATGAGACACATGGAGGGGTGGGGGGAATTAGACACATGGAGGGGTGGGGGGAAACGAGACACATGGAGGGGTGGGGGGAAACGAGACACATGGAGGAGCTGGAGGTGATTGAGACACATGGAGGGGTGGGAAGATGAGACACATAGAGGGGCTGGGGGAGAATGAGACACATGGAGTTGTGGTGGTGAATGAGACACATGGATGGGTGGAGGTGTATGAGACATGTGGAAGGGTGGGAAGATGAGACAAATAGAGGGCCTGGGGGGAATGAGACACGTGGATGGGTGTGGGTGAATGAGATACATGGATGGGTGGGGGCTTGAGACACATGGTGGGGGAATGAGACATCTTGAGGAACTGAGGGGAATGAGACACATGGAGGGGTGGCGGGAAATGAGACACATAGAGGAGCTGGGGGTGATTGAAACACATGTAGGGGTGGGAAGATGAGACACATAGAGGGACTGGGGGAATGAGACACATGGAGGGGTGGGGGCAGGGCCGCCATCAGGGGGTGACAACTGTGATGGTTGTCACAGGCCCGACAGCCCTGGGGGGCCCGGCCACCCGGGCCCCATGTGGAGCGACGAAACTGTCGCAGGTGCATCTGCACCGGGGCCCATCAGGTGGCCCAAGCATTTAGGGCCACCCGATGGGCCCTGTATCTCCAGGGGCCCGGTCAGCGCTGCGACGGGTGATTGCGTGACCCGGCCCCTTTAAAAAAAAAAAATTGCGGCCAGTCACTTCCTCTCAGCTTACTCTGCGCGGGGGGAGAGCGGAGGAGAGGGACACCAGAGGCATCCAGTCCCATCATCCCCAGCCACCCTCCTGCAACTTAAAGGTAAGAGGAGGGTGGCTGATAAATCAGGTGTGTGTGTGTCTGCAAGTATGTCAGTATGTCTGTGTGTGTGTGTGTGTATGTCAGTATGTATGTCTGTGTGTGTGGCTGCCCATGGGCTGTCAGTAAGGTATGTCTGTCTGTGTGTGTGTGTGTGTGTGTGTGTGTGTGTATGTCAGTATGTATGTCTGTCTGTGTGTGTGTGTGTGTATGCCTGGGGGTATGTATGTCTGTGTGTGTGTGTGTCTGTGTGTGTGTGTGTGTATGCTGCATGTGTATGTCTGTCTGTCTGTGTGTATGCTGGGGTATGTATGTCTGTGTATGCTCGCATGTATGTATGTGTATGTCTGTGCGCGGTGTATGTCTGTGTGTATGTGTGTGTGTAATACCGCATGTACGT